CTTATAAAATATATTCTCACAAAAATAAAGTATAATGAATAAAAACGAGTCCGAAAGCGGCTGCAAAAATATGCGACTCAGCACCAGGCCGGGACGGTCAAACAGCAGGGTGCATCGAACCCGGTAATTTCACCACGTGCTCCGATCAAAAACTTCGTTTAAACACTGTTCTTGCAAACAAGAGGATTTAAGAGTCATTTACCTGTCGTGAAATGTTGTTTTCAAATTATGGGGATTTCCAGAGCAGAGACAGGGCTTGGCTAAAATGTAAAAGGTATCAAGATCGATCACTGCGTCGGTTCATTGGGATGTTGGGACTTCAAAGAAAGCTTAAGACAATTCTCATGATTTTGATTGTCATATATTTGTGTATCAACATTTATCACACATCGAGAAGCATTCTACAAAACGAGGCGCAGATAGCCCTGCTAAAGAAAGTCCTCAACAAACCTCTTTGCGTAGCACACCAGAAAACAATTCAGCGACTCCGAAGATTGACTAAAGACCTGACGTACGTTAGAATGTCTGTAGATCGCGATGTCGCCATGGCGAGAATTATCGACGGTCATTACGACAATCTACGAAAGCTACTTCGAGAAATCGAGTTTATTACGAGTACCAACGTGGACGAAGACGGACGAAAACGATTCAGCGACGACGAAGCAAAAGAATCGCAAGTTGTGTGCCCTGAGGTTTATAAAGGATCTATTCATGGCTATCCGTTTTATACAAAGGGTTTTGAAACTGAAGACTGCTCAGCCAAACGGGACACAAAAGAGCTTGTGACATTAATATTTGATGAAGTTGTTGTAACGACAGCAACTGGTGTTGAAAATAATGTATTTATTCAAACAAGTCGCGTGGACCAGTTGTTAACTTTCATAGAAAGCGTATACCGCTTATTTCCTGGGATAAGGGTGAATATCTTGCTAGGAAAAAACTGGAATCAGCGAGAGCTGCAAGCGATTAAGGATAAGACAAGCCAAAACAACTTGCCCAATAAAGTTTCCATTTATTCTCTCAAAAACAACGGGTTTAACAAGGGAGAATTACTTCAAAGTATAATAAATGGAATAAAAACAGAATATACCTTGATTGCGCCGCGTTTGACAAATTTCACAAACGATATCAACCTCGAAAGGCTCATAAGAATTCTCTCGACTCGTAAAAATACCTTATTCGCAGGTGGCAGTTATAGGAATTTAACAGGTCACTGGTCACATGGTTGTCTTCAAACGCAACTTAAAAATTACACTCTATCTTATAAATCAGGTTATTATCACTCTTTCTACGAATGCTTGGTTTGTGACTACATCTCAGGCCCATTTCTTGCGAAAACGTCCCTACTACGAGACATGGGTTTTCGTTTGAGTGGAGAACTTGGTATTTTCAGAGACTTATTTTTGAGGGTAAAAGATCGATACTCTAGCTCACATCCGGGACTGGATCATGGCGGCACTGCGGTAGTAACATGCCCGGATGTGATGTTCCATACACAGTATTCTCCAGCACGTGACGAGGAACTTGCAAACTTTGCAAATGAGCACAACATTAAAAAGATCGTTGAGGCAGACGGGACAATTCGATGGTTTGGCTGCAGAAGAGGGCTAAAATATCGAAATGGAGAGAAATGCCCTCTGAAGTCGGGACTGGCCGTTCCGCCGTGTTGCTTGGAGAACATAGCCGATGCGATTAAATTTGTGATGGAGCAATGCGGTAGGAATAACATAACTTGTGAGCTACAAGAAGGGACGCTATTAGGCGCTGTTAAACTGAACAAGGTGCTGCCTTGGGAGAGGGATGCTGACATCACATTTCTAACTGCGGACTTTCCAAAGCTGGTCAAGATAAAAGACGTATTCACCAGACAAGGATATGTAATTCATGATATTCGTAAGTCTTATAGATAGTATGGTAGTTTAATTATATTCTTTTTACAGAAACTACGTTTGAATTGGGACATCGTCCCAACAAAGAACGTGAGCAATTGGAATTTTCACAGCCACTCAGTTGAGGAATTTACATCTACTGATTTCTTAAATAGATTCACGGTTGGAAATTATAGAGCAGGTATGTCCCGGACACTGTGTTCCCACCACAATCATCGCCCCTTCTGAGATGTAAATTTTTTCGCTTTTTCATGCTATATTCTAAACTATATAAAAGATCGTGTTCCTATATTTTCTAAGAATAAAATTCACTTTAGAGGTCTAGAACAATTGCTAAACGTCCCCGGTATTCCGCTTGTAAGTCCACCAGCAGTTTTTTAGACCTCAAAAGTGCATGTGTTTTCTTAGAGAACACAGAACAACATCTTCTATTTGGTAAATGGATGCACAGGGGAGTGCGAGAGAACCGTAACAGTTCAAAGAATCTTAGCCCAGCCGAGCAACTCTAGCTTCTTGGGAATTGTTTACACTCTCGTCCTCGTCAAGCAAACATAAAAAAATTCTGCTTGTAGTTCATAGCAGCCGGACACAATTATAGTGGAGTATATACGGGTGCCCATCGAGGTTCGAGCCACTGATTTTGTGGCTGTTATAATTCCTTTTCTTTTCTAGAACAGCCATGGTGTTGTGTAGAAGGTCGTAAAGCCGGTGGAAAAATCGAACTACTCGCCGACGGATGGTCCATCCAGATGTACGGCCAACACAGGATGAACTCCAGAGGAGCCCTTGCTTATGAGCACTCTCCCACGAAGGTCTTTTTCAGCGGAAGCTGGCTCAACGTGCCTTTCAATCCGGGGCTTTATGTAAGGAATCGCTACGGAAGAGAGGTTTATCAACACGCTGAACACTGGCTATCAACCGGAAAGCTGTCTGGATGGGACGCATACGAGGCAGGGATGTTTAGTTCATGTCCCGTCAAGGGATTTCACGGGTGTCTTGATCAATATCAGCCCGATGGCTCTATACAGTTCGAGAACAACTTTTAAACTTTTCTACATAAAATTTGAAGGGTGTATTATCAGTACGATTTCATGTCTTGTGTTAAATCGCGGAAACAAATACACATGCAATCTTTGAAAGGTCATGTACCATTTATTAAAACTTACGTAACAAATTTTATTGAAACAACAAACAATTGACTTTAAAGCTCCGGTAAAAAATAACGATTTTAGAACGCGTTTCACCGGCGTAAACACAAGGTCAATGACGTCACGTCCGTTGCCAAGCAACGATCTTAATGACAATATACGCGTTAAGACTTAGAGGTGCAGAGTTGAAAGTTTTCATCCTTCATTGAAGATATTAGCCAAGACAGAAGACTACCTCCGTTCGTACGTTGAGGTTCTCCTCTGTGCAGCCGTGCTGATTAACCTAGCTCCCTCTCGTATCATGGACCCTAGAGTGTCTTTATGCGAGTCAAAGACTTTGCCTTGCTCCATTTCCATCAGGTTCGACATCAAGTCTTATCGTATTTTTCTTTTTTCGGCACAGACTCGGACGGATAACTAGACAAGTAAATTTGACGAGTTTTCCTAAAAAAAAAAAAAAAAAAAAAACCACTTGTGTGTTCGCACGAAGACGGGCAACTCCCACAAACGAGTTTCCAGTCTCTAAAGTGAAATCGACCAATTGATGGATTAATTTGACTGCCTATAGTAAACGGTATTGACATTAGAAAATTTGCTCTTTTTCCCTCCACAAAGCAAATGGTTACCTCAATCTTATCCTGTCTTATCTTAAAGAATTTCAATTTTTACCACGCAATCTCTTCACAAGTGTTTCCAGATCTCCTGTAAGCGAAGCTTCGCCCTCCAGAGATCTTGTAAGGAATGAGATTACAACAGTCTTACCTGAATAACCTCCGTTTTAATCTTCTTAGATTCCACGAGATTTTGTTCAATGGCGCTCAGGATCAGCAAATAGTTTTCCAGTTTCTCGCTTGAAACATTTGTCAAGTCCTGTTCAACGAACCACAAAAATGTGATTATTTTCCATTACAGCACTTAAAATTTCCAAGTAACGACTTGTCAATCTTATACAATGAGTGACTTGCGAACGCAACAACAGAAACATGCGTAAAGCGTTTCGCCTCTTTCGCTCAGTTTACCCACTTCCTTCGTAACAAATATTATAAACGTTGGTCCCTTACCAATGCAAACATTTTTCTTCAAATGACCTTAGAACCACTCTCAGAAAAGGAGAGAGACTCAAACTGCCATCATCAAAGCCCTAACTGATAAAACGCTTAGGCTACGTGATTTTTGAAAGCTATGAAGGCATTATCCTTCCATTTTCCAAGCCAAGTCTTCCCCTTTCGTTTAAAGCACAATATTAACATTGCATGTCCATAGGATTTTCTCTAAGAATGCGGGAGAATAAAGGAGCGGTTGGTAAGTGATCAAATCTAGCTTCCCCTCAGCTCACTTCGGCTCCATTCGGCTCGACTCGGATAGGCTCTACGTTCGGTTAGGTCCCTACACTGGTCATTTTTCACTCTTTCTTTATTTACTTTATTTTGAGAGGAGTCTACTCACGGGTTTCTTAACTTACCGGTAACTGAAACGGCATCTGTTTCAGGTATACAAAACTGGGTATGTCTTCCACTCCAACTGTCTGCACTGGGATGTCTAAAATGCAAACAGCCCCAGTAGTTTTCTACTCTTCTCTCTCTTGGAAAGGACAAGTCAAAATTTCAAAGATTATTCGTGAAGATCGGATCTTGGAGAATGGAACCTAAGAATCATAAAGCTCTTGTGAAACTCCTTTGTAGCTAACAAACAGATGCGTAATTAACTTACCTTCTTCCTCGAGTTTAGCTTTCAGATCATCTGTTTCCCGCTCCTTGCCTTCAGTCTTCACATCAACCATAGCGAATTCCTGTTCACACGAAATAAAGTGCATGTTCAGAGTCACGTGATGTCTTGTTAGAATTTCGGTATACTTCACACATTAGAAAAGTTAAAAGAATAACCAAAGTCATCAACTAGGACATTCTCTTGATGTGCCACTAAATACTCAGAACAAACATCAAGAAAAATGCTTGACATACAGTAATGAGAATTACGATATTAAAGAGTTATAAATCCGAAACAAGTTAAAGTTCCTCCGGCTCACTCTTTGTAGCATGAGTGTCTGCTAAGACGATTTTTCTTTTATATTAGGCACTCCATCAAGGAACAGGGGAATTTCAGGGGAGTAGGGATGGCGTAGTGGAGAGATCGCTCGCCTCCCACCAATATGGCTTGGGTTCGATTCTGGCACGGTGTCATATGTTGGCTGAGTTTGTTGTTGGTTTTGCTCTTGTTCCGAGGGTTTTTTTCCAGGTACTCCGACCGGTTTTCCTTCCTCCACAGAAAACCAACATCTCAAAATTCTAATTCTTTAATCTTTAATCTTTAATCATTATTTATACACGGTAAAAATTCATCAGGTACAACAAATTCCAATGAGATAAGATCCTAAACCTAAAATTCTAATCCTAATATTATATTAACTTACAACAATATTCTACCTATAAACCTGATTTCTATGAATGCCGTGTGAATTCGACCAGAATAGAGGACCCGCGTGGAAACCAGTTAGGGCTGATGAGCCTTCTTCGCTGAATATTCAATTTTCTATTTAATCAATGCTGATAACTCACCTAGAAAATCAGGGATGCTTACCATTTACAAAAACCATCCGGTTGGAAATTTCAGAGCTCTTTAGACACGAACATTAAACAATTAAACGCGACGTCGCGGGAGAGGGAATCGCTATAAAGTATATTCACATCAGCTAAAGAGATTTAAAAGAGCAGGAAAACAGCATCACCTCAAATCACAGCCCATATTTCCTAAAGCCTCCCAAACGGAATGGCGCCAGCGATTTGATTTTCCAACTGGAATTTCCGGTTTTCCCATGTAAATAGGAAATTTTACATTTTCAGTAGTCTCTTTCTTTATCTACTTTTTTTTTTTCTGGGGTAAGAACTAAGCGAAAGGTAGAAAAAAATCTCGAGGCGAGCCGGGAAAATCGCAGCACGGGCGGGACTACTTGTATGGGTTAACTACTCACCAGATTTGTAACCACAACAGCAACAACAAGGTTGGCAAATACAAACGCACCGATAGCTATGAAGGCAATGAGAAATAGCCCTCCACCAACGTAGTAATTCTCTCCAACATCCTGCGTGACATGAATCAAGGGACAAAAAATGTTTCTACTGAGTTGACTGTAACTGACTAATGTTACATTTGTACTTATTTTGATATTTCTTGTTATAAATATCTTAACATTTCTAGCCAGCTTGAAAAAATGTGTCATTTTTACCTGAAAAGCTTTGAAAATTTCCATCCATCCATCTTGAGTAAGACAAACAAAGAGATAGAACATGGCTAAATAAAGTCAAGGATTGTGATAAACTGAATCAAGATGAAATAAATGACTGTACAAAAATAATTTAGTGTTTTTATGCCCAAAATAGCTGTTATGGAAGAGAAGGAGCTTTTAAGTTTTGGAAAGAGCAGCACCGTATCCATATATAACTCTGTACGTTATCAATACTTTTAATTTTTTTAAAAGTTTCAGTTTGTTTCAGCATGTTCCAGCATGTTCCAGGACGTTCAATGTTCCTGGTTTTATGGATGAACAGTCCATGATGAAGCAAACTAACTGTCCGCGCCGAAGACTAATGCGTCGATCAATTTGAAGCTTCAACATCCCCCACCGAGCAACCCACGGGCATTTGACACAAAAGGCCTTCCCTGGGGTGGGGAATTTGAACCGTGCTTGGTAAATGGACAAATTAAAGCCGATAATTTGTCAGTGTGTATGTCAGTTCTTGATTGTGTCAGAGAAAGATTGAAAGGATGAGCGTAAGCTTGTCGTTGGAATAACAAGTCTAGCAGAGCAATACTCCCAAGAGAAAAGTAAAACCATTCTTTAAGCATTCTTCCTCAAAGAATAATGAAAATGATAAATAATTAGGTCAGGATAAGTATTAAATATTGTAATAGAAAGATACAGCTAGAGAGATTTCCAAAATACATCGGTACAATGTCCCGGTATAGCGTGACTCCAATCACAGAAAACACCAGCATGATAATCACAAGCAACAGTACAATGTTGGCCATGTCTGTGAAGGAAAAAAAAAAACATTGTTATACCTTCCGACTCAAATACGTTTTCCGATTGGAGGAGAGCCTGCCACGTGTCATATCCATAGCGAAACAACAACTTGAACTTTAGACTCGCACGTGATCTAGTCGTACAACTTGAAACAGCTGCAAATTATTGTGGCAACCGGCGTGAAGCCAATAATGTTTTCGCAGTTTGTTCCATTTTTGAGTTAGGAATTACAACAAAACACTTGATGAATAGCCCCACGTGAAAGAGTGAGTTTTGTCCCCGTTCGGGAAACGAAACTCACTGTTTCCCTTGGGGCCATTGATTAAGTGCTAAATGTTCTAGTACTTCGTAACTCAACTAAGCTAAGCAACGAAATTTTCTGAGGTCATATGATAAGAATTTACCACTTTAAAACAGGTAAAACTTACCAGGAACTGACTGAAGAATTGTCTGTACAACAATCTGTAACCCAGGCAGAGAACTGATACTGTGAATTAAAATCAGGTGAACAATGGTGAAAAAAAACCCTTAAAAATAGGCCTTTGTATTGCAAATAAAGTTACAATAAATCTTTCTTCAAACTCGGCTAAACTTCCACAGCTACCTCAGGGGTTATAAAAGTCTCGCTTTTTAACACAAGTGTCTACGTCGCGTGCACAAGATTCCACGGTTTTGTTTTCTCTTAATTAAAACGATGATAATTGTCCCCCCCAAAAATTGATTCCTATCAAATCGTGCGGCCTTTTTTACTATTGCTCGGGAAAACAAACCAATCGCGGAGCCAGTCACTTGGGTAAACAACGGAGCAAACGAACCAATCATAAATCGGAACGTGGAGACGCCATATTCCCAGGTCAGACAGCGCCCACATCACGCCGGACAAATTTGAAAACCCAGCTTTGTTTCTGTACGGTTAGGCCAAACGTCCACACTAATCCGTCA